ATGGAATATTTTTAAGAGCTATTTCATAATATTTTTGGGCTTTTTGACATTCACCCATGTTACGTAAAACGTCTGCTATGCTTCCGACTGTTGGACGAGCACTTATCTTTGCCATAGTAGAAGCCATTAATTCTTGCATATGTGCTTCGTTTTCATTATCATCCTCTAATGTTAAGTTTATGAACCAAACTTTATTATTTATATCTTTTAATTTTCCAATATTTTGAATTCGAAATATTGTGCCAATAGAAAATAAAACTTCATTTTCACTTGTATTTGTACCAGCAAAAGGTTTTTTCTTGTTGATTGTATCACATTCTAATTGAAATAAAACAGATTCAGATGAAGGACTACTTGAACCATCACCTGCAAACATTAATGCTAAATCACGATTGAATGTTGTCGATAAAAATGAATTCATTGATATTAATCCACCAATATTATTTAACAACATTTTTAATTCATTATCAGATAAATGTTGACCACGAAAAACAGTAAATTGTCGAGATAGTAATGTTTGAATAAAATCTTTATGTAATACTATTAAATTATCATGTAAATTTTTAATAAAATAACGAAATTTATATATAATATCAATATTTTCTGTACGTAATGCTTTATTTAATAATCGATAAACAAATGAATCTTTTGTATACCAATCAATTGTTTTTGTTAAACAATATGTTTCTTTAAAACAACGAATCTATTTAATTCATTATTATTACTTTTATAACATAATAAACATTCATTAATCATTTCATTTTTCGCATCTTGTGTGTTTGGCATACGTATTAATATTTCAATTAATACTTGAGACCATATAAATGCTGTATATTCATCATTATTTAAATCACGACATGATTTTTCATTTGAATTTTTACTTAACATTCTCATCGGTAATGTATTGTCAACATTTGAATACAATTTAACATCATCTTCTAATTGTTTCATTAGACTACTCTCATTATTATAAATGATGTTAACACCGTCATAATTATTATT